CCTTATGTGTAGTGGAAGCGTGTTGAACAGTCTCGGGCCTCTGATGTTGATAGTTCTCTCTCAGAGTACCTGTTGCACCTCTGCTTTTCAACGGGGGTATTCTGCACATCCTGCTATGCCTCCAGGTATCATGTGATGTTATTTCTGTGTGCAGGTTTGGGATCAGCCCCTCTAGTACCTCACATACACATTCACCCCCCCCCACACACACACACACACGGGGGCGTGTTCGGGGACCTGTAGCTGAGTGGACAGCGCTTGGGACTCGTAATCCTAGGATCCGGGTTCGATCTCCGGGGATGGCGGAAAACAAATGGACAGAGTTTCTTTCACCCTGATACCCCTGTTACCTAGTAGTAAATAGGTACATTGGAGTTAGATGTTGTGGGCTGCTTCCTGGGGGAGGGGGGGGGGGTGAGTGGAAAAAAAAGTTGACTGTTGAGAGGCGGGCCGAAAGAGCAGAGCTCAACCCCCGCAAGCACAAGTAGGTGAATACACACATCCCCCTACACACACACACATTGGAGGGCCTCGCGGCTGAGTAGACAGCGCTCTGGGGTCGTAGTCCTAAGGGACCGGGTTCGATCCCCGGCAGAGGCAGAAACAAATGGGCAGAGTTTCTTTCACCCTACCTTGTTCACCTAGCAGTAAATAGGTACCTGGGACTTAGACAGCTGCCACGGGCTGCTTCCTGTGGATGTGTGTGTGTGTGTGTGTGTGTGTGTGTGTGTGTGTGTGTGTGTGTGTGTGTGTGTGTGTGTGTGTGTGTGTGTGTGTGTGTGAGAGAGAGAAATATATGTAGTAGACATAATAGAGGAAAAATAAACATTGGTTAGAAAGGCGGGCTCCAATGTTGTTATAGATTCAGCTACTCGGAACAAGTTCCAAGTAGCACGGGCTATGGTGAGCCCGTAACTTACCTGGCACAGGAGCGGGGCAAGTAGCACGGGCTATGGTGAGCCCGTAGTGGACTTACCTGGCACAGGAGCGGGGCAAGTAGCACGGGCTATGGTGAGCCCGTAGTGGACTTACCTGGCACAGGAGCGGGTCAAGTAGCATGGGCTATGGTGAGCCCGTAGTGGACTTACCTGGCACAGGAGCGAGGCAAGTAGCACGGGCTATGGTGAGCCCGTAGTGGACTTACCTGGCACAGGAGCGGTGCAAGTAGCACGGGCTATGGTGAGCCCGTAGTGGACTTACCTGGCACAGGAGCGGGGCAAGTAGCACGGGCTATGGTGATCCCGTAGTGGACTTACCTGGCACAGGAGCGGGTCAAGTAGCACGGGCTATGGTGATCCCGTAGTGGACTTACCTGGCACAGGAGCGGTGCAAGTAGCACGGGCTATGGTGAGCCCGTAGTGGACTTACCTGGCACAGGAGCGGGGCAAGTAGCACGGGCTATGGTGAGCCCGTAGTGGACTTACCTGGCACAGGAGCGGGGCAAGTAGCACGGGCTATGGTGAGCCCGTAGTGGACTTACCTGGCACAGGAGCGGGGCAAGTAGCACGGGCTATGGTGAGCCCGTAGTGGACTTACCTGGCACAGGAGCGGGGCAAGTAGCACGGGCTATGGTGAGCCCGTAGTGGACTTACCTGGCACAGGAGCGGTGCCGAGTCCAAGAACTAATAACTCGAGTCTGCAGTTCCAAATAGTAAACACACAACACACACACACACACACCAGATTTAAAGTTCATTACCAATAATAAATAACAAAAAAAAAACACGTTTTAGAAAATGCTCAAATTAATACAATTCAAATTAATACAAACAATTCAAATTAATACAATGTGCATTTGATATACGGCTCAATACATTTTGATATGTGATTCTCGTCAATGATTGGACACTGCCATGGTCGCCGCAGCATGCCGGACTGGTCACTGGGGGATTATAAACATGTTATTTTTGGTTTTAACTCGTGGCCAAATCAGGCTTCATGCATAATGGAGTTTGATTCGTAACTAAAGACCTGCAAAATGGGTCGGGGAATATACCCGGGGAACACTGACTGGACCAGGTGAGATGGTGTCTGGGGGGTAAATCATCTCGTCGGCTCTATATATTAATTTATATTAATGTATATAGTAATTTATATAGTGATTTATTTCTCACGTTAATTTATTTCCATAGCGGACTGAATGATGTTTAACTTCCCACAAATCGCGTCTTACACATTCTGGGAGTTTATTAAATTACGTACATAGTCTAGTAATCATTTTTTTGGATCAGTAGGCGTTCACTACAGTACAAGACTACATATATTAGCAACAAAAAATTGAATTCAGCTTATCTGTATGGATGATTATGGCCTAGAGAACCACGTATGAACACGGATCAAACACCAGAGTCAATACTCCTCTTTTGGGTTATCTTGAGATGTCTTGAGGTTATCTTGAGATGATTTCGGGGCTTTAGTGTCCCCGCGGCCCGGTCCTCGACCAGGCCTCCACTCCCAGGAAGCAGCCCGTGACAGCTGACTAACACCCAGGTACCTATTTTACTGCTAGGTAACAGGGGCATAGGGTGAAAGAAGCTCTGCCCATTGTTTCTCGCCGGCGTCTGGGATCGAACCCAGGACCACAGCATCACAAGTCCAGCGTGCTGTCCGCTCAGCAGACCGGCCTCTGGTGATAGTGCTGGAACTACCATCACTCCTTAATCTTTTCCTCTCTCTGATTCCTGCAGCTGCCTTCCCCTTACGGTGTACATGCCTTCTGGTCTCATTTCTCCCTGTCCCATCGTCACTACCTTACACTTGTTAGGATTAAATTCTAGCAACCCCTTCTGTCCCCACTCCTGTAGTTTGTCACGGTTATCTGTCTAACCTTCTGCAGTATCTCTCGGGTTTGTTACACCTCTTTAAGCTTTGCGTTGTCGGCAAACATTGACATGATTGAGGTCACTCCCTCGGAGAGGTCATTAGTGTAAATACCGAACCACGGGGGTGGCCGGACCGACCCTTGGGGAACGCCACTCATTGTCTTCATCCAACTCGAAGCCTCATTGTGACTCTGTTATCTCTCCTTCAGATAATGTTTCAGAGGCTGCTAATCAGAGACGCGGCGGATCGTGAGGCTACCAATCAGAGACGCGGCGGATCGTGAGGCTACCAATCAGAGACGCGGAGGATCGTGAGGCCGCCAATCAGAGTACACGCCTGAAGGAGTTGCCAATCCCCACGTACACGTCTCGTCTTATACTGGGCTCGAGGAGAAAGAACATAAGGTGCTGCTTCCAGCTATTCCTCCCATAATATCATCCTCAGGACATTACATTTCTTGCAAAGATGAAAAGTTGGAGCAGCTCACTGTGAAGAGTGAGGGTGGGAGTGGGTGGAGGGCGAGGGTGGGAGTGGGTGGAGGGCGAGGGTGGGAGTGGGTGAAGGGCGAGGGTGGGAGTGGGTGGTGGGTGCAGGGTGGGGGTGGGTGGAGGGCGAGGGTGGGAGTGGGTGGTGGGTGGGTGGAGGGCGAGGGTGGGAGTGGGTGAAGGGCGAGGGTGGGTGGAGGGTGGGGGTGGGTGGAGGGCGAGGGTGGGAGTGGTTGAAGGGCGAGGGTGGGAGTGGGTGGTGGGTGGAGGGTGGGGGTGGGTGGAGGATGAGGGTGGGAGTGGGTGAAGGGCGAGGGTGGGAGTGGGTGGTGGGTGGAGGGTGGGGGTGGGTGGAGGGCGAGGGTGGGAGTGGGTGAAGGGCGAGGGTGGGAGTGGGTGGTGGGTAGAGGGTGGGGGTGGGTGGAGGGTGGGAGTGGGTGGAGGGCGAGGGTGGGAGTGGGTGGTGGGTGGAGGGTGAGGGTGGGTGGTGGGTGGAGGGTGGGGGTGGGTGGAGGGCGAGGGTGGGAGTGGGAGAGGGAGTGGGTGGAGGGAGAGTTAACACCCACTAATGACCAAGCCGCCTAAAGGGATCTCTGAAAGAAAAGAGAACGCGATGGTGTAAGGAATTGACGGTGTGATCTTTATGTGCAGCACTGGTGAGAGGGAGGGGGGGCGGTGATGGGGGCGACGTGGGGGGGGGGGGCGGTAAGGGGGATGACGGGGGGGGGGTGATGGGGGGGATATGAGAGTGGTTATCTTACCTTGTGATGGTTTCGGGGCTCAACGTCCCCGCGGCCCGGTCCTCGACCGGGCCTCCTGGTTGCTGGACTGGTCAACCAGGCTGTTGGAAGCGGCTGCTCGCAGCCTGACGTACGAATCACAGCCTGGTTGATCAGGTATCCTTTGGAGGTGCTTATCCAGTTCTCTCTTGAACACTGTGAGGGGTCGGCCAGTTATGTGTAGTGGAAGCGTGTTGAACAGTCTCGGGCCTCTGATGTTGATAGAGTTCTCTCTCAGAGTACCTGTTGCACCTCTGCTCTTCAACGGGGGTATTCTGCACATCCTGCCATGCCTTCTGGTCTCGTGTGGTGTTATTTCTGTGTGCAGGTTTGGGACCAGCCCTTCTACTATTTTCCACGTGTAAATTATTATGTACCTCTCCCGCCTGCGCTCAAGGGAGTACAGTTTTAGGCTCTTTAGTCGGTCCCAATAGTTTAGATGTTTTACTGAGAGGATTCTAGCAGTAAAGGATCTCTGCACGCTCTCCAGGTCAGCAATTTCTCCAGCTTTGAAAGGTGCTGTCATTGTGCAGCAGTACTCCACTCTAGAGAGCACTAGCGTCTTGAAGAGTATCATCATCGGTATAGCATCTCTGGTGTGCAAAAGGTTCTTGTTATCCAACCTGTCATTTTTTTTTGCAGTTGTGACGGCTACTTTATTGTGTTCTTTACCAGTCTTCTTTTCCTTGTTAACCCCATTATCCTCCTTTCCCCCTTTGATCCATTCCCTTTGCTCCTCTCCTTTCCATTCGCTTTTATTTCCTTCAATTCCCCAACATACATTACAGTCATTACATACACACGAGAATTTATCTTAATTCACTAAAACAGAACTTCAGGTTTAATAAGTGGTTTGATAATTGCGTGTAGAATATGATTTAATGTGAAGATATATATGACTGAAGCATGTGTTCCCCCCCCCCCTCAGGCGTGAGCGGTGAGGGAGAAGGAGAGAGGTGAGAAAGGTGAGAAAGGTGAGAGAGAGAGCGTCATCCCTCACAGCAAATCTCATCCCCTGGCCATGAAACTCCCGCCATCTTCACCTCGTCACGGGGACACCATACCATAGACCCACACCTGGTCCAGAATATCCCTGGTGTCTGAGGGACACCCCGCTCGAGCCCGGGCCCGCGGGTCTTGGCCACGACAGGCACCGGCAGTCGTCGCTAAGATGACCAAGGACACGCCAGACCACCTTGTCCTGACCACCAGGAACCTGACGGTCACCCAGTAATTGAGTCATTAGTGGAGTTCGCGCCTTGCCGAAGGTGGGACGCCGGACAGTGCTGCCATCTACCGTGTTATAATCACTTAGTTTTACCCGCAACTGATCGCACATTAACCCAATATTAAGCCTTAGAAAAGCTGTTCAGTGTCGTGTAACAGTAAATATATATACAGTAATTATACCTCGGGATTATACCCATAAAATATATCAAAATATCATTAATACAACTTTACTATATTGCCAAAAAGATAATAATTTCTAGTGTGATAAAGTGACATAGAAGACACACATTGAGGAGACGTGTGTGTGTGTGTGTGTGTGGAGGACCATCTTGGGCAGCTCACCATGAGGGAGCACGTCATGTCGTCCCTCGTCACCATCCTCGTCGTCCTCCTCCTCACCATCCACAAGGTAATGTTACTTTACACTTCACACATAAGCAGCTATTTGAAGTGTGTGCACGTCCCTCGCGTGAGCACGTCCCTGTCATGTGCACGTCCCTGGTGTGTGCACGTCCCTGGCGTGTGCACGTCCCTGGTGTGTTCACGTCCCTGATGTGTGCACGTCACTGGCGTGTGCACGTCCCTGGCGTGTGCACGTCCCTGGCGTGTGCACGTCACTGGCGTGTGCACGTCACTGGCGTGTGCACGTCACTGGCGTGTGCACGTCACTGGCGTGTGCACGTCACTGGCGTGTGCACGTCCCTGGCGTGTGCACGTCCCTGGCGTGTGCACGTCACTGGCGTGTGCACGTCACTGGCGTGTGCACGTCACTAGAGGTGAGTTTCCATGGCTGAGGCTGGGACACCTCGACCATGTTGTGTTCCAGTCTTCAGGATTTTAATATATTTCAGAATGTTCTAACTTACTCTCACTAGTACAGTATTGTTCCTCTGACACCACCACACCTGTCCCCCTGACACCACCACACCTGTCCCCCTGACACCACCACACCTGTCCCTCTGACACCACCACACCTGCCCCCCTGACACCACCACACCTGTCCCCCTGACACCACCACACCTGTCCCCCTGACACCACCACACCTGTCCCTCTGACACCACCACACCTGTCCCTCTGACACCATCACACCTGTCCCCCTGACACCACCACACCTGTCCCCCCCCTGACACCACCACGCCTGTCCCCTGACACCACCACACCTGTCCCCCTGACACCACCACACCTGTCCCCCTGACACCACCACACCTGTACCCCTGACACCACCACACCTGTCCCTCTGACACCACCACACCTGTCCCCCTGACACCACCACACTTGTCCCTCTGACACCACCACACCTGTCCCCCTGACACCACCACACCTGTCCACCTGTCCCCCTGACACCACCACACCTGTCCCCTGACACCACCACACCTGTCCCTCTGACACCACCACACCTGTCCCCCTGATACCACCACACCTGTCCCTCTGACACCACCACACCTGTCCCTCTGACACCATCACACCTGTCCCCCTGACACCACCACACCTGTCCCCCCCTGACACCACCACGCCTGTCCCACTGACACCACCACACCTGTCCCTCTGACACCACCACACCTGTCCCCCTGACACCACCACACCTGTCCCCCTGACACCACCACACCTGTCCCTCTGACACCACCACACCTGTCCCCCTGACACCACCACACCTGTCCCCCTGACACCACCACACCTGTCCCTCTGACACCACCACACCTGTCCCTCTGACACCACCACACCTGTCCCCCTGACACCACCACACCTGTCCCCCTGACACCACCACACCTGTCCCTCTGACACCACCACACCTGTCCCCCTGACACCACCACACCTGTCCCTCTGACACCACCACAACTGTCCCCCTGACACCACCACACCTGTCCCCCTGACACCACCCCACCTGCCCTCCTGACACCACCACACCTGTCCCCCTGACACCACCCCACCTGCCCTCCTGACACCACCACACCTGCCCCCCTGACACCACCACACCTGCCCTCCTGACACCACCCCACCTGCCCTCCTGACACCACCACACCTGCCCCCTGACACCACCACACCTGCCCTCCTGACACCACCACACCTGTCCCCCTGACACCACCCCACCTGCCCTCCTGACACCACCCCACCTGCCCTCCTGACACCACCACACCTGCCCCCCTGACACCACCACACCTGTCCCCCTGACACCACCACACCTGCCCTCCTGACACCACCCCACCTGCCCTCCTGACACCACCACACCTGCCCTCCTGACACCACCCCACCTGCCCTCCTGACACCACCACACCTGCCCCCTGACACCACCACACCTGCCCTCCTGACACCACCACACCTGTCCCCTGACACCACCACACCTGTCCCCCTGACACCACCCCACCTGCCCTCCTGACACCACCACACCTGCCCCCCTGACACCACCACACCTGCCCTCCTGACACCACCCCACCTGCCCTCCTGACACCACCACACCTGCCCCCCTGACACCACCACACCTGCCCTCCTGACACCATCACACCTGTCCCCCTGACACCACCCCACCTGCCCTCCTGAGACCACCCCACCTGCCCTCCTGACACCACCACACCTGCCCCCCTGACACCACCACACCTGTCCCCCTGACACCACCACACCTGCCCTCCTGACACCACCCCACCTGCCCTCCTGACACCACCACGCCTGCCCCCCTGACACCACCACACCTGTCCCCCTGACACCACCACACCTGTCCCCCTGACACCACCACACCTGTCCCCCTGACACCACCACACCTGTCCCCCTGACACCACCACACCTGTCCCCCTGACACCACCACACCTGTCCCTCTGACACCACCACACCTGCCCCCCTGACACCACCACACCTGCCCCCCTGACACCACCACACCTGTCCCCCTGACACCACCACACCTGCCCCCCTGACACCACCCCACCTGCCCTCCTGACACCACCACGCCTGCCCCCCTGACACCACCACACCTGTCCCCTGACACCACCACACCTGTCCCCCTGACACCACCACACCTGTCCCCCTGACACCACCACACCTGTCCCCCTGACACCACCACACCTGCCCCCCTGACACCACCACACCTGTCCCCCTGACACCACCACACCTGCCCCCCTGACACCACCACACCTGCCCCCCTGACACCACCACACCTGTCCCCCTGACACCACCACACCTGTCCCCCTGACACCACCACACCTGCCCCCCTGACACCACCACACCTGCCCCCCTGACACCACCACACCTGCCCCCCTGACACCACCACACCTGCCCCCCTGACACCACCACACCTGCCCCCCTGACACCACCACACCTGTCCCCCTGACACCACCACACCTGTCCCCCTGACACCACCACACCTGTTGATTCATTCCACCACACAAAAACAAGTTACAAACGCGAGAAGCACAACAAACAAACAAACAAACAACGGAGCGTCCAACTGTATATCGCACAAATTGCTGATCATTCAAGCCGCGGAGTGTTGACCCGGACGCCATACGAGCTAATAGGGGCCAACATTGTGTGTTGTTGTGTACGCAATTACCTGACGCGGCGACTGACGCAGCGACAGCCTGGCGCATCAGCTGTCAGCACAAAAGAAGGGCAGAGAGGGGGGATGAGAGGAAGGTGGGGGTAGGGAGGAGGAGGGGGTAGGGGGGAGGGGGGGAGGGTTGTCACCTTGAAGTTACCTTGAGGTGTTTTCCGGGGCTTAGCGTCCCCGCGGCCCGGTCGTCGACCAGGCTTCCTTGGTTGCTGGACTGGTGTCAACCAGGCTGTTGGACGCGGCTGCTCGCAGCCTGACGTATGAGTCACGGCCTGGTTGATCAGGTATCCTTTGGAGGTGCTTATCCAGTTCTCTCTTGAACACTGTGAGTGGTCGGCCAGTTATGTCCCTTATGTGTAGTGGAAGCGTGTTGAACAGTCTCGGGCCTCTGATGTTGATAGTTCTCTCTTGAACACTGTGAGGGGTCGGCCAGTTATGTCCCTTATGTGTAGTGGAAGCGTGTTGAACAGTCTCGGGCCTCTGATGTTGATAGTTCTCTCTTGAACACTGTGAGGGGTCGGCCAGTTATGTCCCTTATGTGTAGTGGAAGCGTGTTGAACAGTCTCGGGCCTCTGATGTTGATAGTTCTCTCTTGAACACTGTGAGGGGTCGGCCAGTTATGTCCCTTATGTGTAGTGGAAGCGTGTTGAACAGTCTCGGGCCTCTGATGTTGATAATTCTCTCTTGAACACTGTGAGGGGTCGGCCAGTTATGTCCCTTATGTGTAGTGGAAGCGTGTTGAACAGTCTCGGGCCTCTGATGTTGATAGTTCTCTCTTGAACACTGTGAGGGGTCGGCCAGTTATGTCCCTTATGTGTAGTGGAAGCGTGTTGAACAGTCTCGGGCCTCTGATGTTGATAGTTCTCTCTTGAACACTGTGAGGGGTCGGCCAGTTATGTCCCTTATGTGTAGTGGAAGCGTGTTGAACAGTCTCGGGCCTTTGATGTTGATAGTTCTCTCTTGAACACTGTGAGGGGTCGGCCAGTTATGCCCCTTATGTGTAGTGGAAGCGTGTTGAACAGTCTCGGGCCTCTGATGTTGATAGTTCTCTCTTGAACACTGTGAGGGGTCGGCCAGTTATGTGTAGTGGAAGCGTGTTGAACAGTCTCGGGCCTCTGATGTTGATAGTTCTCTCTCAGAGTACTAGTTGCACCTCTGCTCTTCAACAGGGGTCCTTTTATGGAGGTCCCATATAATATGGTTTAAAACAGCAATGATCACCACCCCTCATGTAAGGTAGAGAAAAAATACCTTACCACTGGTGAGGAGGTGAGGCATCTCTAGGTGGTGAGTGAGGCGCGCTCAGCACCTCACCTCACCTCCCCACGCCCCCCCCCCCACAGCCTGCGGGCTACTCAGGAATTTACTCAGTAAAGACTCCGTGAATGGTGCTTCCTGTCTCATTATTCAGTAGTTGTGGAAAATGTCGTAGAAGTGACAGGATGGTGACAGCAGGAATATTTAAAGTAATTAACAGCTAGAGTCACTCTACTCCTACTCTCTCTCTCTCTCTCTCTCTCTCTCTCTCTCTCTCTCTCTCTCTCTCTCTCTCTCTCTCTCTCTCTCCACTTCTCTCTTCCTACTCCTACTTTCTTCCTACCTCCTTCCTCATCCTCACCCCTACCTCTCTCTCTCTACCTCAATTCATCCTTCCATGTCCCCCATTTTCCACCCTTTCTACCTTCTCATTTACTCCTCCTCCCCCTTCATCTCCTTCTCACTTATTCCTGCCTCCCTCTGGTCACTTCTCACCACCACTACGGACCAAATTTAATGTGTTACAATAACTAGTGGAGTTATCAAGAGTTACTTGGTAAACATAGGGGTTTACAATGTTTAGTTATCACGGGTATAGTGTAAAGCAGACAGTT